GCGATTTTTCTTCCTGAATTCAGCCCAGGTAGGGAGTAAGCCACACAAATGCATATTTAAAAGCTAGACCGAGTTCTTATTTGGAGAGCAAAGAATTAACAGGGCTCAAGCAGTGGCCATGGCTTGCCTGCTGTACCGATCTTTTCAGAGAAAGCATCTTGGTAAAATATGCAATGATAATAACGAAAGCCCCTGTGGGACCCAGGAGGAAAAAAAACACAACCCTCCAATTTATGTAAAAAACTGAATGTGAATGAGAGGAAAGATCACACACACAACCTTTAAAAGGTAAACATAAAAGAAAATCCAGCTAAATTTATCTCTGTCAGTAAAAAAGTTAGCCTAAGCCTTAGCCACGTGTGTTGCCAATTCTTAAACTGAAATTAAAAAGAGAATGCTTACTATAGAGTAGCACTACCAAACAAACTTCTAGCGATAACGAAAAATGTCTGCACCGTCCCAATTCAGCAGCCAATAACCACATGCAGAGTGCTTGGAAGGTGGCTAGCGAGGCTGCGGAACTGGATTTTTTCTTTTATTTCACTTGAATTCACTTCCATTTAAATGTAAACAGCTACAGGTAGCTAGTGGCTACTGTATTGGACAGCTCAGCTACAGACACTCAAACCAAACAGCTGGCAATGTCATTTCCTACAATAAAATTACAATCGTAATCAACCAATAGTATCTTAAATTGTCACCAAAATTAGTAACCTCTATACAGGCCCCAGCTGCCCCACACTCAGCAAGCTTAAAACAAAAAGAAAAAAGGCTAAAGACAGTGATTCCAGTGTGTCATTGCTTGTGACTTTGTTCCGCCTACCCAGTTTACATCTTTGTCATACTATGGCTCTGCGTATTTGGAAATCGGTGCTTGTAGAAGGAATATGCATTTGCGAAACCAGAATGTCACGGTCTCTCCCCTTAAAGTCTGGGAAATATCAAAATGTGAACTTAGGGCAACTTACTTAACCCCGCTAAGCTTCAGTTTCCTCGAGGCTAAAGAGCAGATAATAATAGTGCTGGCCTCTCAAGAGGATTAAATTCAGAGAATACAGCAGGTAGAGTGCCTAAAAGTGCTGGCAAAGAGTAAGCACTTGGCAAGTGGTCACTATAATGATTATTTTGTGAATAACAATAGTAAAATCTGTAATAAAATAAGAACTGTGCTACTACCATGAAAGTTTATAGTCAGCAAAGTTTTCCTAGGCCCAGTCACCTTGAACCTGTTTCCCAGGCCATGGCAAAGTGGCATCCAGTAAAATATGTCTGGGGCCCTGACATCTTGACACTCACCGTCAACCTCTAGAGAGACACTCACCGAGATGGGTACCGGGAGTCACAACATCATTTAGCCAACATCTGTTGTGCCCCTACTTGTGTGGCAGGCACGTGCTTGGCTATGGATGAAAACAGTCCCCAGAGTGCAATGTCTCAAGACTCTACATCATCTGCAAAGCTTGATCTCCACTGGGGAGATCACCTTGCGGAGATGTAAAAATTTCATCCTGGGGTCCCTAGCAGGCAGGGAGGCTCAATTCCTGTTTCCTGGACCAGTCAAGCCAGGATCAGCTGCTGGCCCACAGAGAAGGACCGAGGTATAAGGGGACCTGAGGGGAACCAGCCCATTTTTCTCAGGCGGGACAATAAGGGGGGTGTTGACAGGCCATGTTTTCACTGACAGGCCAAATCACTTTAACAGGAAAGCTGTTCTCTGAGCCTTCAAAAAGCCAAATCCGATCTTCCTCACAAAGCAAACACAACCCCTTTCAGCAAGCTGCCCAAGCCGGTGAAATCCAACGGACTCACCCCACCAAGTTCACATCAACCAGACCAACATGGCAGAAATCCCCCAGGAGTTTCCAAGCACAAGTTTAGTGGAATTCTGTGGGGTTAGGGGTTATTTTTCTTTATATAGAAAGCACTCAGTCAATCTTCTTTCACAACCAAGTGTACATTCCCCTATGGAATTCCCTTCTCTTGAAGATTTCTAAAAACAAAACATTCATCTGATCGTCTGCAATCATTTAAGTTAAACCCACTTACTGGAAGAGTTGGGGAGTTCTCACGGCTCTTCCACCTATGAAAACAACACGTTCCAGACTGCCTCAGGTGGTCCCAAGTTCTGGGTCCCTCTGGCCCCAGAAGGGCACTAAGTCAAACCATGCTCTTGACCCAGGGATAGGAAAACCAGGTTGCAGTATCTGGATCTCATAGTTGTATTCTTGGCTGGTGGGAATGTAAAATAGTATAAGCATGTTGGGAAAAGGTCTGGCAATTTCTTAGGAGGTTCTATGACCCTTCCACTCCTAGGCATTTACCCACAGGAAATGAGAACTGATGTCCCTAGGAAGACTTGTATGCAAATATTCATAGAAGCTTTATCCACAATACCCCTCAAAACTGGGAATAAGTCATGTGTCCATCAACAAGGAGTATATATATAAACAAACCGTGGCGTAGACATAACCTGAATATAACTCAGCGATAAAAAAAGACCAAATGACTGAATATTCAACATGGATAAATCTCAAACACATGCTGAGTGAAAGAAGCTTTACACAGTCCTGTAGGATTCCACTTACATGAAGTTCAAGAACAGGTTAAAGGAACCTAGAGTGAGAAAAAATCAGGGCAGTGGTTGGCACTGAAAGGGTGGAGACAGGGACTGACTGGGAATTGAGATGAAGGAACTCTCTGGGGTGATAGTAATAGTCTCTATCTTGATAGAGACTAGGGTTATACATACAGGTGTGATAAGCTGTCAAAACATTAAGCATATGTTACTCTCAAGATTTTTGCATTTCACTATATGTATATAAATTTTACCTTAAGAAAATCATGAACATATATTGAACTCTAACTAATAAAACGTGTGCTGAAATATTCAGGAGTGACCTGTATCAAAGTCTGTAATTTATTATAAAATGAATAAAACAGTAAGTCAAACCAGTGATGGATAAAGGATTGAAGAGATGAGGAGATGTGTAATTAAACCCATATAGCAACATTACAGGCCCTAGGTGTGGGTGTTTGGATGGTCACTGCTTTTGCAACTTTTCTACATTTTCTAAAATGAGATGCGCAGGGGAAAGAGTCACAGTGCCCTCTCCTTCGCCCGTCAAGTCAGAAATCTGGCAAGGCACCCATGCCCACCGAGCCATGGCCCCACATCATTTCAGTGCTGCTGAAAAGTGAAGACTGCAAGAGCACGAGTAGCTTTACAGGAACTCACATCACTCATGCCAAAGATTTTCTGCCTGTGTCCCTACAGACAAAGCATTTATTTGAATGTAAGCCAAAAATTCCTTCTCGAGAGGGAGAAATAGGACACACTGACTTGTATTCCCAATTTGTTCTCCTTCAATTCCTGCACTAAATCCATTAGCTAACTGCACAGCACTCTACTTCCATTTGCCCCATGTCCATGCAGCCAAAAAACAAACAAAGAAAAACCAACCCCACGACCTGTTATACAAATGCAGCCAGAGGGTGATGGCCCAGCACTCAGGCCAGAGACCCCACTGAAGGCCAAAGAGGATGCAGAGCTCCTCTGAGGTTAAAGTGATTTCACTGAGGTTAGCACGCACATGCACCAAGAGCCCCAAACAGCTTGTTGCTTAATCCCTCAGTGGGGTTTGGTGACATCTGGGGTCACTTGAACTTAGTAGGGAATTCAGCTGTTCAAAAGTACAAATTAGGACTCCTGGTGGCTAGGGACACGTGGGGTGCATAGCCGCCCTGCACACAGACCCAGAGGTCGCTCACATTATGCCGGTCTTCCTTCCTGGCAGGGCCTCACTTATCCTGAGATGACACACAATGGCAGGGGCTGGAAGACGCCTAGCCTGACTGCCAGCCCAGCATCTGAAAACAGCTGTACCAATTACAAGAAGAGACTGTTGCTGGAAACCAGGGCAACCACTCAAATATAAGGATTTGTGCCAGACTTAAAAAAAAAAAAAATACTTTTTGTTTGTTTGTCTTTAAGCCCCCTAACAAACTCACTGACACCACCCAGCGTCCCTGGGAACTATCCACAAGCACACAGGGCAGCCCAGCGTGTGCAACAGGGAGGCAAGCGGGAGCGCGCCTGGGTTTAGCACCTTGGCCTCCACGCTGTTCTCCTGCCAAAGACGGCGATACCCTAGGTGAGGGGCAAGAGCCCCGCCGGGAGGAGAGGGTGCGCGCCTGACAAGTGGTTTCCTGAAATACACGCCGCCGCCACCCCACCCTGACCCAGACCCACCCTGACGTCCCTGGAGCCTAGGAAAGTGGTTAGGAACGGGGAAGAAACCCCCCTACAAAGGGGAAATGCCCGTTTTCAGCGGTGGGGACTCCCCGAGTCCCGAGACTCCGAGCCCCCAGCGGCTGCGGCGCATCCTCCCAACGTGCAGCACGTCTGCTCCCACCCACCCATGGTTCATTCCTGCCCTGGGAGCAAACCCACCGCCTAGGGCGCAAGCAGAAGGGCGGCGGAGCCGCCTCCACGCCACCCCACCCCGCCCCGCCTCGCTCCCTCCTGACCCTGGACTCCGCGGCCAGCTCCCGCCCGGTCTTTGCAGAGGACTCCCTGCAGCCCTGTCTAACCCACCTGTAGCCTGGCAGCTTCCCCCTGCTTCCTTCCCAGGCGTCCCGGAGCCTAACGCCCACGACCTCCAACAGACTGCTCTGGGTGCCGCTCCGCACAGCCCGCTGGGGTGATTTTTTTTTTTTTTTTCCCCCTAAAAAGTTGGCCAAAGACTGCTGTGTCTCATGGATCGGGCTCGACCCCATCCAAACCCCGGCCGGAGGCGCGGGGAGGCTGAAGGGGTTGCGTTTGGGGAGGTGAGAGGAGGAACCCTCTGGCAGCCCGGGGGCCTGGGAAGCACGCCCCAGCTCGGGCAACCTGCAGGGAGGCGCCACGCGGGGCTGCCCCGGTCCACCCGGGTCCTGTCGGGGGGCCAAATGGAGGGGTTCGTGCCCGCCTACACCCCCAGCCCTGCCGCGCGCCCACCTACCGTTCGGAACTAGCAGACGAGAAGGCGCGGGTACGGGCTCCCCGAGACAGTGTTCCGTCCCGGGAGGAAAGTTTGTGCCATGCAGAGGAGGCGGCTCGGAGAAGGCGTGGGCACCCGTGGGTGGG